CCTTAAGGGTCCCTTCCAACTCAGGATATTCTATGATTCTAGGTGTGGGTTCTAGGTGTGGGTTCTAGGTGTGGGTTCTAGGTGTGGGTTCTAGGTGTGGGTTCTAGGTGTGGGTTCTAGGTGTGGGTTCTAGGTGTGGGTTCTAGGTGTGGGTTCTAGGTGTGGGTTCTAGGTGTGGGTTCTAGGTGTGCAGCCTAGAAATAAACGCGTTAAAAGGATCAAAGACTCTATAGAGATTTATAAGCAAATATTCAGATCTCACCCAAAGGCGTCCCAATGGGGGGGGAAGAGAGGCTCAGCCCATCGACTGATCCCAGGAGTCAGGAGGTCCTAAGTATGTCCTTGGGATGGTATCTCCCCTGACGATGGTATCTTCCCTAACATCCCCTCTCTCTTGGGCCAATTTATATTATTTTCTATCTTTTAGGTGGAGCTTGAGTGGCTCTAGTCAAGCATATCTTAGTTATGATTGGTGTAAAGTTTTCCCGTCTCCGTTTAAAGTAATAGGCTCCGAGAAATTCAGAGCGCATGCTCAGTGAGGGGTGGTCGCACCTTGGAGGCGGGTAGCTTTTGGGATGGAGGTGTGTTTTGGTATTATAATGATATTATAATGAGCAAAAAGTACACTAGGGTACAGCATTTGTCAAAACATGACAGGTCTTTGGCTTAGGGTGGCAAAAAGTGCAGCTTTGTGCACAAGAACAATCGAGGTCCCACCTGATCACAGAGCCTAGCCGTGGTGTCTCCACTCCACTCTACGCTCCGTGGTGTTCCTTAGAGCTAGCACACCAAGTTTCCCCAGCGCGATAGCATCTAAGGTTGGGAGCCTAGGGAATGCTCAGATAATGCAGTTATGCCCTACCCTGAAAGCCTCTTCAATGCTGTACCTTTTCCTTAAAAGTGTGAATGTTAGTTTTATTTTCCTAGTTACTTCAGGCATTTACACCACAGATGCTAGCTGAAAGACTTGGTCTTTCACTTTTTTAACTGCACTGTAAAACTGAAATAGCAGGATAGTATCTGTCTCTTACAGAAAGGGGGGGGGGAACACTTGTACTTGGAAGATCTTATGACTGTCTTCATGGAGATGTTTAAAAGGCAGAATGTAAGCAAATGAAGGGTTAATGAGTCCTGGTGTGCACTGGGTGAATACAAGCATTTAATGGGGTGATCTGTACCCAAATTCTCTCCCTTATGGGGAACATTCCTGACAACCAGAATGGTCCATGATGTGCTGAACAGAGCTGCTGGAGCAAGGAGGATGTATCTGTGGTGGAGGAGCATCAGGCTGAAGTACACTTAAAAGAACTGGACAGATGCATTCATGAGTGAGCTAGTTCATGTCCCTGCAAGACTACTGGCTTTGAAAGGTCACTGCGACTGGGGAATGTTTCCAAGGGCTGGAAGAAATCAAATGCCACTTCTACTTCCAAGAAAGGCAAGGAAGAAGGTTTAGGGAATACAGGCTGGTTGGCCTGACCCTGATCCCAGGGAAGATGACAGAGCAAATAGTACTGGAAACTATTTCTGAGCATGCTAATAACAGGAAGGTGATCAGGAGTAATCAGTGTGGATTTACAAAGAGGATATCATGCATAAACAACCTGATTGCCTTCTATGGTGAGATGACTGGCTTGGTAGGTGAGGGGGAAAGCAGTGGATTTTTTTTTTTTCTTGACCTTATTAAGGCTTTTGACTTTGCCTTATGTGATGTTTTTATAGACAAACTGATGAAGTACAGATTTAGTAAATGGACAGGGAATTGGAGTTAAAAACTGTCTGAACTGCTGAGCTCAGAGGGTTGTGATCAGCCTGTGAAGTCCAGCTGGAGGCTAATTGTGAGTGGAATATCCTGGGGATGATATTCCAGCCATTACAGTTTAGTGTTCTTGTTAAAACAGCTGATGAGACACAGTGCACCCTCAGCAATTCTGCAGGTGATGCCAAAGTGGGAAGAGCGGTTGATGCTGGCCTTCCTGCAGTACCCTGAAAAGGCAGTGCTTCGCTGCAGGCAGAGCACTGTCCTTACCATAACTCAATGCTCTGCTGCTATTCTAGGAGGCCTACCAGCAACTGAACATAAAACCTTGCATTTCCTGACTTAGATCACTCATGGAGATCGAATCTTACTTCCTGAAATGACAGAGCCCAATGGACAGGCAAATGGCAAAAGCTTGCTCAATCTGTTAGTTATATAACCACATAAATGTACATGTAAGTCGCTTTTCTTAGCATCAGGTACTCACTCTGTAACTGGTATCACTTAATGTAAAGCGTTGTTCTCCATTTCCCTTCTCAGTTTTAATGGTTGATGTAACTGCAGTTTTGTGAACTGTGGTAACATTCCAATGCAGTTGTTTCTGTATCAAGAGAAGTACTTAGCACTGTTCATGATGCAAATGAGACCAAATTGTAGATGTGGACAAGTTGTTTTGTGGTATCACAAAAGGAACAAATATTAAGATAGTCCTGAAGAAAGAAACCCACCGTGTTAAATACTTTTTCTGTACGAATGAAGATTCAATTTCAAGTATGGAAATTGCTGCAGAAGGAACTCTACTATCTGAATTTTCATATGGGATAGGTAAAAAAAAATAAATCCCACTCTAAAGAAAAGCTGTTCAGATAGTGAGAGGCAGAAAATGGATCCAATAATTTGCAAACTCACAACCCCTGTAAGGTGATTGCAGAGGTGGGGGATATCTGATTTTACTGAACATGCTCACCTGTGTGGTAGGTGACTCTGAGCCCTGTCAAGCTCTGGGGTTGTTTCTGCCTCTGCTTCATTGAGGATGGAGAATGAGCAACTTCGGATAGAGATCTGGTTAATACTGGCCATACTGGAGAGTTAACACTTGCTCTGTGGCCCTAGATGTACTGCCTTGTGGGTTGCAGTGCCATTTGTAGTGTTTTGCCTGCCTGCCACACTGTACGGAGTTAGCTTTGGCAGGGCACTCACTAGGTGGCTTTGGATATAAATGAGATGATCATAAACTCAGTGTGAAACCGTTCAAATGGCTTGCACCTCATAAACTGAAGACAACTGCTTAATTAAGGGAATATCATGGAAAAATATGAGACATGGGAGGGAAATGAAGGTTTTTGTTCTGCCCTGTATCAGGAGTCGATTTAACTCAAATATTACCTTTTTTGATTTTTTCTTTTTGTTACTGTAAGAACCCCCACCTGCCCATTTATAAGTTATAGCTATAATCTCATTTATAGCTGCGAAGTGCTAGCAGCATAGTGTGATTCTGTGATTCTGCTGAAATGGCAAGAGCACCTATTTCTGGAATGCTCCGTGCTCATTTCAGTGTGTTGCAGCACAACTGCAACATGAGAGAGGGACAAATGAAGGTGCTTCTAGGAATACAACCTGAGTTAAGTACTCTGGTCACATTTAGGGACCACAAACAGGACAGCAGATGCAGTAGAAGGGAAAGCAATGAGGGAAAGCCCATTCTCTAAGCTGTACAGTAGTTACAGAGCACAGCAGTGCAAGGAGGTATGGAGCTGCTAAGCCTTGCACAGCAGACTTAGTTCTCTGATTTTTCTTGTGCAGAAATCTCAGTGAAGGTGGGCTCTCTGGTGGGCAGGGTTAAGTGTGTACAAGTGTGCTTTGGCTGGTAAATCCATCACATGGAACTGGTGACTGATAAAATAGCAAGCAAGCACAGCAATCTCTGGAGAAGAGCAACATGAACTCCTCTGTTACCTGACTGGCTGAAACAGCAGTTCTGTTGTCATTCCTCCCCCAGCTTAGTGGCTACAAAAACATTGCCTCTCAAACAAAAACGGCATGAAGGGTAGTGCTTCACAAAATGTGTTATGGTCCTTCTGACAAATATGAGTTTAATTCCTGGCAAATTGTCCTGGTTTCAGTTAGTTAATTTTCCTCCTAGTAGCTGGTAGGGTGCTATGTTTTGGATTAGGATGAGAAGAGTGCTGATAACACGCTGATATTTAATTGTTGCAGAGCAGTGCTTACACCAAGCCAAGGACTTCTTAGCTTCTTGCTCTTTCCTGCCAGTGGGCAGGCTGGGGGTGCAGCAGCATCTGGGAGGGGACAGATAGGACAGCTGACCCCAACTGGCCAAAGGGGTATTCCACACCATTTGGGGTCATGCTAAACAATATATAGGGGTGGCTAGCCAGGGTTAGGGGGCTGGCTGCTTGGGGTTAGGCTGGGCATCAGTCAGTGGGTGGTGAGCAATTGCATTGTGCATCATTTGTTTGTATACGTTACTAGTAGTAGTACTATTATCACTATTATTTTTATGTCTTCATAAACTGTCTCTATCTCAACCCATAGGCTTCATTTTCTTGTTTCTCTCCCCCATCCCAGAGAGGGAGGGGGGAGGGTTAAACCACAACACAAGTGTAAGATAGTCTGCCTTTAGGTAGTGGAGTTGGTCGTGGTCATTCACTGTATTTGTGCAAACTTCTTGATTGTGCCCAACTCTACTGAAGCAATTTATAAACAGGAAACACCAATAGAGCAACCAGTAGCATTTTGCTCAGAGCAACATCTGTGCTCCAAGCTGCTTATTTCAATAAAACTGAACAAATCTGTTGATTTGATAACACTGCAGCAAATAGTAAATCCTGATCAGCATTGCATAGACCCAAGATTAAGCATTTTTGAGTTAAAGACTTCATTAAAGAAAAAATAGGCCTTAATTATCTCGATATAGTGGTGTTAGTGCAGTTACTTTGCAGATTTCACAGACATGACATCATATTTATTAAATGGTAACGGACAACTGAGGTATGCCAGCCTGTGAGCTCTTAACTTCAACAGCCAGGGTTTTCCCAGTCTGTTGCACTCCCACTTTGCTGACCCTTGTAACAGCTTAGGAAAGACTGAAGGTGCACAGAACTAATCATGGCACTGTTTACAATGAAAATATCCTGTAAGCAGACTGTGTTTGAAAAAAATATTGTCATCGACAGACTACCTAACTAGTAACTATTAAAAAAAAAGCATAAATACAAAAGAGTTGTACTTAAATATGAATTTTATTGCTAAGAATATTTTACTATTAATTATTGAGAACGTGTGCATATGAAAAGCAGCATTTATGATAGTGCAAGAACATGAAGGATTTAGGAGAAGGGGAAAAATTGCTAAATGCTACTCTTCAGGATATATCTATCAAAGCTATATCATGAGGAGGAAAAGACAAACACATTTGAGGAAGAATTAGGAATTTTTTCCTTTGCTCAATTTGCTTAGCTGGTTCCATCACCTACTGAATCTTCACTGAAGAACAAAGTGAAGCCCATGTTGTATGACATTCAGGGTAGCTCTGTCTAGACACAGCTCAATGTTCTTCAGCACCAGAAACATGCCAGGAGTCAGTGCAGTTGCTCTGTGCGTAAACACTGCCCACCAACCTCCTCCCTAGTTCATAAGCCCGTACCCTCCCTCTGAAAGAGGGAGTCCTCCTTAGTCCCCCACCTGTAACTAGGAGAAGCTAATGGCTGTTTTCAGATGTAAGACTTTGGGAGGGACACTTTTTTTAAAAAAGATGTTTTTTAAAAAGATGTTTACAACAAGTAAAGCCTTCTTACTACACATCATTGGCAGAACATATGCAGCTTTTATTAATCTTTGAAGGGACATGCATGGACATTGATATATGGCTCCAAGCCGAAGCTTCTTGAAAGTTTACAATCCCTGGATTAGGCCCGCTCTTAGTAATGCAACCAAGACAACATACGTTTTTTCTTCTGATGATTTCAGTTAATTGGTGTTGGTTCTAAGAGTCAGGAAAACTCAGCATTTCCCTTGCCTGTTATCAAAACTTGTCTAAGACCTCCATTGCTTAAATACATAGGATACAGCCAAAACAGCATTAGCACAAAACGAAAAATGTCAGAGCTTCACCTGTGCTTATACAGATGCAAATTCTCATCTACTTTCATCTTTTCTGACATACTTGAAACCCTCTGAACTTTGAGGAAATAAATTTACTTCTGAATGAAAGCATAAAAAGAAGAAAGCCTTAACATTACAACAGTATGATTACAGGAAGATGAAAGTGAAAGTATAAAAATAAGTCCTCTTACTATACAGAATTCAACTTGGGTACCCTGCTTCTTTTTACTTCATTAAGAAAGGTGCATTTCTTCTCAGCTTTCCTTCCTCTGCCAAGCACAGCTCAGCATGGATTAGAGCAGGATAATGAAACACACTACAACACACAACGGTTGCACTCTGGGTTTCAGTTCATAGCACAGCAGCCTGCAGGAGCACATTGTGTATGGAACCAGCTGCAAAACCATGAACAGCCACGTAGGTTCCTTGGGAGTGTTTTCCTTAAGTCATGGAAGCAAAGAAGAAACCTGTTATAGGTGAGGGGTACTGTGCATAGAACAAACCCAGTCTCAGCTGTGCTTAAACCTAGTTGCAAATCATGAACGTGGTTCAGGAAGCCTTAGAGGCTGAGGAGAAGCAGATGTTATCCCAGCTGTGGTAAGGCAGCTGATACCAAAGTGCCTGTCTGCACTTGTGCTGTTTGTGTCTCTTCTCTCTTGACTATTACTGCATGCAGAGGGAAAAATGGCAGGGCTGACAAGGCAAGGGTTGTTCAAGTTAGCTCTCCTCCTGCAGAGACAGCAATGTCATCATGAGCAGAGGTATCAGGCAATGGCTTCTTCCTCAGTGTGGTGGTTACAGCGTCTGATGAGACTGACTGCTACAGACAAGGAGAACAACTTGCAAAACTAAAGATCCATTGCTTCCATTTGAACAGAGGGGAGTGATTCAGGATAAAGAGTGAGCTGGAACACCACATACTGGTCTTCCTTGCCACTGGTCATTCATATTTCTGGGAGAATAAAAACTGAGGACTGCCACTGCTTCTTAGCAGTTTGCTTTGTATGTTTTCAGACAACTTTGCCTAGATGGTGTCAAAGACAAGTATAGGACTCCATTTAAGAAAGCACACTACCATCTGCAGGCAAGTTTAAAAGCAGAAAGTCCTTAAGCATGGCAGATTGCCTAATGCCAAGGACTTGGAGCTGAGCTGTATGCTTGTGTGGGAAATGTTCAGAAACCAGTAATGTATATACATGCTGATTCAGGGCTCCTATAAGCCTTCTATTTGGCCTGAATTTTAGACCCCCCCAAAAATATCCTTCTACAATGTTTATGTTAAGTCTGTTCATTAAGCTACTGACTGCTAGTGTGTTACATTGGTGCTCATATTGATCCTTATCACTACAGATCTTACTACACCAGAACAGAGTTCAACACATCTTCTCTAACTGCTTAACTAAATAGTGCCTTTAAACTCTCCTTTGGACAGTTAAGAATCAGTTATTAAGATGCTGCTACTGAAAAATAACTATTGCATTTTAAAAGTTGAACAGTAAACAACATTGCCAATAGATTATTGCACACAAAGGTTTTTGGAACTACAAAGATTAGGAATGGGTAGTCTAGAAGACCCAGAATAATGATCCCAGAGCCATTCCAGTCGCTGCTCCAGCAAGCATGCTGAGTGCAAGGTCTCCATCGCTGTCACGGTACCGCTCTCGAATAATGACATGGTTTGCAGGGGGCTGGCCGTAAGGTCCTAGGTAGTAAGAGATTGTTAGGAAGAAGGCAAAAGAAATGTAGATCATAATGTCATGCATTGGGACTTCAAAATGTGACCATTCCTTCTGTTGAACGCTATGATGATGTCAGCTACAAAGGTAGAATACATCTCTGCTTTGGATTCAACCCCCATAATCAAAAAAAAAAAGTTACAGAAGACTAGCAGCATTCCTAGCCTCATAAGAAGTCAAATCTTACAGAAAAGTTCGTAACAAAAGTAAAATTGAACATTGTCCTGCATTTATTTTAGCAAAGCCTATGAATTACTTGTATCATTCCATCAAACAGATGGTGGGTTTTTTATGCTGGGAATAGATCTAAAAAATTATTCAAACTTGGAGTTAAGGCAAATAGTAAAGTTTCAAAAAAAAAAAAAATTAGCTTTTAAGTCAGTTGTTCGCCGATTAAAAAAAAATATATATTTACTCTATACTTGCTCCTTAATACTTCAATTCAGCCTTCTACAGTGGTCCCTTGTATGGTGACGGCTGCCACATCTTTCATGAAGATTGACCCAGTAGTAAGGGGTTAACCTAAGACTCAAGAAATTACCCATTGACCCCTGCTCTGCAACAAAGTTGTTTAAATTCTGCCTGCCATAAGTTTTATGACTTAGCTCCTATCTGCAAATCAAATGTAACAGTATTGCTTTCTTTTTCAGACATTTCAGGAAGATTCAGTATTTTCAAAGATACTGTAGTGGTTTTTGAAACATACTGAAGTAATCTAACTCAAATGGTAAAGCATCTCACTGACTCAACAATCATGGCTAGGCACTCAGAAACTGGAGCTGATAGCACTGGGAACCTCATGAGAAGGAGAATGAAGCAAGCAAGGAAGCTGAAGATACAGGGGTTAAGTTAGTTTTAGTTGATAGGACTGAACTTGACCCTGTAAGATTTAGTTGCAGTAACTCTAGTGAAGGGAAACACCAAGGCTTGGTTGCTATCCCCAAACCATAACTAGTACCTTAACACACCAACCTTTCGAACTGTTTAGGAGTTACTGTTTCTGGCTGTATTTTTATCAGACAGACTTCTGTGACTTGATTTCCAAGGCACACTGGTAGTTAAAAATGGTTCTTCAGACTTTCACCAAATTGGTGAAAGCTGGTGCTTTTTAGTTGCTGAGAACCAACAGAGCTCACTTTCCTCTGTATGTTTGTACATGACCTGTATCTTAGCACTCCTCTAACTTACAGGAGGAAAAGCTTTACGAGCTCTTGGCTGGTACACATCCCTTGTCACAAAAAAAGTGGAAAAGGCAAAGGAAATAACCTAACAAATGTCAAATGGTAAAAAAAAAAAAAGTGGAAAAGAATAGATTCTTGTTTGAGGAGCCAATCGTAATTTACTAAATGAGTGTTTATATCATCTGATTTATATTACCTGTGTTACCCTAAGCCCCTGATTCTGTAGGACTGGGGTTCTCTATGCAAAGTTAATCCTAAATTAAGGTTATTTAGCTAAAAGCACACCCTAAAATTGTAGTCTCTTTCTCTTTTACGGAGACTGAAAGCTACTCAAACCTAAACAGTAATAGAAGACTTCACAAGGCTGTGAATGTACCCTCTTACAGCAATTCCAGCATGCAGAAAAGGAACAAGTTAATACCATGCTTTGGGAGTAGATTTACCTTTGGAATATTTTCATTTAATTCTGGGGTAATAGCTAGATATCTGCGTTGATAAAAATTAAACTACAGTTAAGAGCATCAAATGAATCGCAATTCCCAGTACAGAGTTAGTTCCTCTAACTGTCCTATCTTTCCTTAGAAAATGTGCTGACTATTGTAGTTAGAGTTGTGTGTGCTTTGAAAAGATTTTTTTATTTAGTATAATTTATTATTAGTAGTGTAGTAGTAGTATAACTTAGTATAAATTACTAAAGTAATTTAAATACACTGGGGTCACATAAGGTTAAATCACTTAAATTCCATTGTGCTCAATTTGCTGAGGAAGGGTGAGGGCACTCTGGTACCAGTTACAAGTTAGGTTTCTTTCTATCACTCTGTTGTGCAGAAGTGGCAGGTGGTAAAGGAAATTGAAAATGTTACATCTGAACCCAGCCTCATGTGCCAATTACTTGGTCTTCTCTAATGTTAAGGGGATGAAGCTTCTTGGTGAATGTAGGGGAAATGGTTGATGCTGATTACCTTGGTACGGGTACTGGTAGGGAACAGCATAGGCTTGTCCATTGGAGGCATAGAAGACTTGAGGACCTGTCGCAGGATATGCACCATTGTACTGACTGTAGCCATAAACCTGGTGAAATAATGTCCAAAATGTTTATTACAAGAGTATTCTCTGTCATATATCCGTTGGTGTACTTTGTTCAATTCTCCCTTGTTCCTAATGCAGTTCAGGGTTCACTAAAATACCCAGTATGTACTGATCTAGACTACTCCCTGGAAAGGATTCAGAACAGCTTCTTGGAAAAAAGTAAATAAATGCTACTAAGCAGTACTCACTTCTCACCCCTAGCTTCCTCCTCTCTGCCTGCATGCCAATAACAGCTCTCTGGAGAGCTCAGAAGTGTCAGGTAGGCAACAGCTGGTCCCAAAAAATCTCCAAACAGCTTTCCCCTAGCACACAGCAAGTAAACATTGGATTCATGATTCAAGCCTTATATTTTGAAAGCAATTTTGCTCTCTGAAAAAGAAAGCCCAGTGCTAGCCCAGAGCTAATATAGCTCCCAGTACCACATCTATTTCTTAACAATGGCTGCAGCAGAGCAGTGCAACAAGAAATAATCCCCCAAACTGCACCTTTGTCAGAACACCCAGCAGTGTGTATTGGTACAGCCCCCATTCTGTTCCTTTTCCAATGCAGAACAACTGTGCATCCAGGAGCTAGAGCTGATTTATTGCTATGACATCCTGTATAGAGCAAAGTCTTCATGTGGTACAAATGACAGCTCCAGTCATTAAATCCTATTTTTAAAACCCCTGATTTTATATCCTTCCAGTGCTTACACAATTTGAAAGTGTGGGCACACCGCCTTATACTAGAGGCTGCACAGCCAAGATTTTTCCAGATTAACCAAATAACTTCCCTGTCTCTAGGTAGCTTAATTTTCTAAGTTCACTGTGCATCCATCCCTTTATGTATCTCCCAGCCACATCTGTCTGACCCCTTTCATTGGAAATCCATCTCAAATAGGAGTGATAATATTTTGCTAGTGCCTCATTCCCACCATCCATTTGTACAAACCTTAAAGCAGGATCTGACTGTGAAACACAGCATTTTGGCAGTACAGTTTGGGTGCCTAAAGGATGGCTGTTTCTGCTACTCCATTATTTTAGTGCTTCCTGACTGCAACTCTTACCTCAGGTGATGGTGTAGCATAAGCTGTATAGGGAGGAGGGGCTGAGGAGATGGCTGTCTCATCATACATCACGTCAGATCCCACGTAGCCCTAAATACCATGGAAAGATAGCAGTTAACACCTTTCCCTACAGCCAGACAACTAGAGTAGCAAGAGGATTAAAGCTTAATGACCCCAAGAATAACATTTAGATGTGCTGCATGTTAAGAAAAGCAGAGCGCCTTATAAAGCTCTGCAATGAGAAACTACTTGGAGAGCAGACCTGGGAGATCACAAATCCTGATCAACCTGATCAGGAAGGAGCTGAACAATTTCTTACCGTATTTCTTAACCGTATGTGTGCATGGAAGCACATAGACTCACTCCCTCTTTTCATCATTTCAGTTTTAGAAGTTGTTCTAGTATTCATTCTCAGCTTACAGATAAAAAAAACATCTTCATAACTAAGCTAACTGCTTCCTGGCACCCTAGAGCAATAACACCAAGTGCTGCAAGTGCAAATAAGGAAACCTGTGATAGGTGCCAGTAGGACCTGCACCTTTTAGCAGAATTTAGCCACCTGTCACTTTATGGCCATGAGGAGACTGAAAATAGATTTAAACCCCTCTTACTGCATCTAGGGATTTGGGTGTTGTTTTGTTTTTTTTTAAGGGATTTTCCTTTCAAATGCCAGCTGTAATTTTGGCCCTTTTTGAAGGCAGTCATGAGGCAAAGGTGACAGCTTACCTGAATCTTCAAGGAGCTCTCTAAAGATGATTAAGATTTGTTACAATAGCCTTGTATTCTTATCCCTAATATCAGAAGTCTACAATGATGATCTTAGTGGCTTAGAGGCTGAAAAAGTTGTATAATCCTTCTTGGTGTATCTGCACTCCCTTCCAAGCACCTCTTGCTCTCTGCCAAGAGTCATCCCACAATGTAATGGATCTTACATTAAAAGACCAGCTTCTTGTTTAGGTCAAAAGTGTCTCATACTTTCAGTAAGCTTCCTTTAGCAGTTGGTAGGCAACAGATAGTAGGAGTGGAAAATGCATTTTTGCTGGTTCGCATGCAGCCTCGGTGCCCGCTTTCTTTAGAGAACAATTTCCCAAACATTCACATCCATCCAGAGAAATCACTTTCTGAAATCATTCACTTTCACCCAGAACATATTTGCCTGGCTTTGGCTACAACATTGACATGTGCTGGTAATCCAGAAGATCATGCTTCTCCCCACCCACAAACCTTACATCATGCTCATGACCCTGTTCTTCTCTAGCAGAGAAGGATGGAACATCAAAGGCCAGCTGATGGACCACAGATATCACTGACAAGCTTCTTCTCTATCATTATGAAGTCTAGGTAGTACACTTACTGTATGTGTTCTGGCATCCTGAAGAGCAATTTTCCATGCCCTGTGGAAAAAATGTTGTTTAGTGGAACACTGATAAAAAATTATGCCACTTCAAGACTATAAAAAAAACAAGGTTGGCAACCACAGGTACTGCAGGAGCAGAGTTTAAGGTGAAAGCCTAATGGTGCACTAAAATGCATGCATCAAAGTGTTACACCAAGACTGAAAACTAATTATTTCCTTTGCAAAGCTGAGATGGAGTGAGAAGGAACAAGAAAAGGATCATGCGAAAGAATGTATTTGAAGACCTTCACTGCAGGCACACTCAGAATAAGGAATAGAAATTCTTCTCCTGCCTGAACAACTGCTTCTGTCCTGACTAGAGGGTGTAGGCCTAGACACTACGACAGTTTGAACAGAAGGTACACAGACTTCACACAGATTCTCCCATGCTATATGGCTGGGAGCATGCATGATGCATGGTGCATACTTGGCAAACACTGGTGATAGATGTTATCCAACTACACATAGCTAAGCTCAGCTGAGAGTTCACAATATTGGAGTGTTCTTCATTTCAGTGACTGAGAGGTCCTTGGACCATGCAGGGTTATGTACTACTTTAAGAAGGGGAGAGGGGAAAAAAAAAATCTGTTCAGCATGTTTTGTATTAACTGTATTAATGAGATGCATTTACTCCTCCTTATCCGTCAGTGTTTTCAGTGACTTGCAGTTAGTTTGCAAGAACTACACCTACATGAGTTAGGCAACTTACAGGAGAGCTATGTTTTTTTATATAACTGAAAGCCTGCTTGAAAATTTTCTTGAAACATGTCTCTAAAAGTCTGAAGGAAGGATAATATCTAAGGGGAGAGAGAAGAAAAGATAAAGGAGGAAGAGGCAGCAACACCAATACTCTTTGACCAACTTACAGGCAGTCATCTGCACTTTCTGCACAGAGGTTGACTGTCTTTCCATCACGACAAATAATCTGCAGTAAACAGTCCCTCTGCTTCCCCTCTGGAGGCTGGAAATCTGAGTCAGAAAAAAAATAACGAGTCAGGAAGTATCTGGAAGTAACCAGAATTTCATGATCTCATTTACAAGAAGGGAGATAGTTTATGCAAAACTCTGGACAAAATACATTATGGCCTGTTATAGCTGCTTTCCATGACATCAGAACAACTGACAGAAAGAAAGAACCTGCTCTCGCTCTTTAGAATATGTTCTGAAGGTAATTAGCTCTGAAGATTGATCTTAATAAATGCAAGTGTCTTATAGCAGAACCAATCTGTACCCAGCAGTAAACGCTCTCCAACACTTGTGTCCTTCAGTGATGCAGCATCAAGTGGAGTACTAACAAATGCTAGAAGTGAACTTAGTAATGCTTAAAGAAAAAATCTGCTGAGGTTTCCCATTTTGAGTCCTGCCTCTCCCTCCAGGCAGCACCATAACTTCACCAGCAGCACTCTATGATTAGACACAAAAGTCTTCTGCAAATATCCTGTTCGTATCCTGTTCCACAGTCATAGAAGGAAGTAGCAAACACTCATGGTGACACCATGCCATGGACATCTACAAGGGAATTTCATAGCTGGGGAGTTCTTGTGGTTGTTTTTTTTCTTTGACAGCAAGGCTTCACACTTCATGGGCATGTTTACTTCTGATCAAGTGGTACTATAACTGCAGGCACTGAAGCTGAAAAGAATCTCAAATCCTGAAGGTTTCACTCTTACCTCGACATTCATTCCCCACTCTGAGGTTGATGCAATGGATTCGCATGTGGATTTTATCTTCTATATCATGACGATTCTGATCATCATAGAATATTAAACGGCCATCAGACCATAGGTCAAACCAGTTCTTCTTCCAGCGCCGTAAAATAGTACCTTTAAAATAAGATAGTCACTTTTGAGGGCACATACTAGAGAGTATTTGTGTCCTAGATTTAATAAAAATAAAGACATCCTTCCCAGCTGCCCCAGTGGACAAAGGCACTCTTAGGCTCCAGGCAAAATCCTGTCCTACAACATCCCTGTATCCCTGTTTTAGAACATTACAAAATTGTTTTCCATATTTTATCTACTACTCTGTCACAACAGAGTATATTTTAAGGGCTATGACTTGGTGCTTTAGTTCTAATTTGCTGCAAGAACAAGCAGAGGGCATGACTAATTGAAGACATGAATGTAAGGTGTCAGGTAAAGTTTCCAAGCATCCACTTATTTAGCATTAATTACAGAGCAGCATCTGAAGCTGAAGGCCAATCAGATACCTCTGATGTAGTATATAGTTTCCTACTAGTATACCCAAAAGGGCACATGGATATGCTGTTATGGCAGGCCACTTAGTGGAGTGTCCTATAGTTTAAGAAAGACAAACAAACAAACCCACAGACCTAGCGACTGTTTTTAAGAAATTAGTCAGAGGGGGGAGAAGAGGAGGTAAGAGGCCCATGACTTACTTTGCCGGAACAGCCAGCCACTCTTCACAAATGCCATTGTTACTTTATCCGGTGGACAGAAGAGGAAGATGGGGGTGAGCAGTCAGTATTTCACAATACCTGAGAAAGAGGCATGTCATGTTAGAATATCATGGTTTACTCCACTAGTATTGCAGACAGAGAAGGTAGATCTCTACTGAAGATATTTACCAAGGCCTAACTAGTATTCTAGGACTCAGCAAGTGGAACAAATGTGTGATTGTAGCAATCCAGTGAAACTATCAGAGGCCACTCTTAAGTTTAACTGGAAATGCACAGGTTTACGATTATAGCTGTTGCGACTTGGAGAAGAGTCAGACTGGTGACTGCTGCCTGACTCACCATCACCAGTTGCTTTCAAAATTGTTCCCTTGACCTGCTCTCCCTTTACTCTGCAGTGTCAAGTGACCAAGCAAACTCACTTCCTCCATCCTTTTCTCCCTCCTTTTTTCTGAACTTCCTTTTCCTTTTTTTTTTTTTTTCATTCGCTGACTGGAAGTCTCACCTAAACAAAAGCTGACACTGTTTAAACAGGAAGGAGAAAGCTGATTTTATGACGTATGTCCTACCAGAAAAGGAATGGCTGAAAGTGGGGGAGAAAGGAGGAAGGAAAGAGAGTTTTGTTATCTTTTCATAAATATAATGTTAGTAAGCATCTGCTTATTTTCTGATAGATGTATATATGCAATCTATTGAGTATTACTTGCACTGTGTCCGTTTCACAGTTGCCCTTACTGGGCAAATATTGTAGCATACAACTAAAGATTATAGCTATCAGGACTTCATACTGAAAGAACGCCACATCCAGCACAGGCTTGGGTGTGACAAGTAAGAACCATGCGCAGCTAAAGTTTAAACTCCAAGACAAACTTTAGAAGGCTTTTGTATTTGCTTGCTGGGAAAACAAACATCTAGCTGACAGCCCAAGGAAAGGGAGCATGAAACTCCTATCCTATTTTAATCCTGGTCACCAACCAGGTCCTGCTTTGAGGTACAAGCATCCTGTTGTCACTGGGCTACAGAGGGAGGGGAGACCTCATCATGGTCTACAGCTTCCTCACAAGAAGGAGTGGAGGAGCAGGTGCCAATCTATTCCCTTTAGTGACCAGCGATAGCACCCAAGGGAATGGTGTCAAGCTGTGATAGGGGAGGTTCAGGCTGGACATCAGGAAGAGGTACCTCACTGAGAGGGTGGTCATGGACTGGAACAGGCTCCCTAGGGACACAGTCACAGCACCGAGCCTGTCAAAGTTTAAGAAGCGTTTGGGCTGTGCTCTCACTCGTATGGTCTGAATTTTTGGGTAGACCTGTGTGGAGCCAGGAGTTGGACTCAGTGATCCTGGTGGGTCCCTTCCAACTAGGGATGACACTATTAAAACACCACAGAATCATAGGAAAGAGCCAATGAAGAACTTGCATGACCTCCTGTTCTGCTGCAAGCACGAGAGTAGGCCACTGAGTGTTTGTAGCTGCCTTTAAACCTAGTAACCTAGTAGTCTGTTACACAACAGCATAATTAGATCTAACTTAGACACATGAAGGGGAAGAAATGAAGAAAAAACCCCTCTCTGTGGACAGATCAAGTTTTGCCTGTGATTACTGGATGCCTCACAATCAAAGTCTCGCAGTACAGAATGTCACAGCCAGCTGGGGATACAACAGCAAGAGGCTTCAGCAGCTGTACAGCACTTGCGTGCCATCTCAGAGGCAAGAACGACGTTCTCCCAACACAGAGCTTAAAACTCCTGCTCTGGATAGCGAGCAATGACTCACACAGAACAATCTGTCAGCACTCACGTAGGAGGTGTAAAAACAATTAGATATTCTTCTCTGGTCCTTTTTTAAGTGCAAGCACTCACTTAAATCCAACACAGCATTCACGTTCGACCCACATTATGTTTAAAAGAGTATTTCCAGAGCTAGAAGACCACCTGGCAAGATCAGCTGCAACTGTGCCGTGTTTGCTTGTTAAGCTAGCTCAGCGCAGAAAGTGGTACTGAAATACTGCTAAATCAGTTCCTTTTGTCACAAACCTCAGAAGTTCCTTGGTGACTGAAATCTAAAAGCAGGAACGCCCTAAGCTGAACACAAGGGTAAACACGGGGAAGGCGTGGGGCTGTTTATTCTCTCCCGCTCCGTGGCAGCGCAGCTTGCCTTCCCTGCACAGCACATCGCGTGCAGCATCCCACGGCTCGCTTCGGCCGACTTCTTGTTCTCAAACCCGGGCGGCTGATGGCAAAAGTGAACTCCAGAACAAACCGAGCGCTCCCTGTGACTTGTGGCTGCCGGAGCGCTTTGGATTAACGCCATCGAGGTAGCAGCAGGCCTGGATGCCCGCAGACGGAGGTGTTCGGCCACACAACCCTCAGGGCAGAGCCAGGCACCGGGCAGCACCCACAGCCGCTCCCTGCCTCGCTGTTACCGCTCCCAAAGCCCCAGGCCCGGCAGAGCGCTCAGAAGCCGCCCTACAGCTCCCGGCTTTAAAGCAAAGCGCCTTTCCCACTTCTGGAACTTTCCGGCTCCGCGCGGGCCGTTTTCTCCCGGTCTCTCCCTGCCGAGAGCCGCGCACCTCGGCCCCGAACCCCTTCACCCCTCAGCGCCGCCCGCCTCGGCCCGCTCCCCGCGGGGCAGCAGCGCCCCGAGCCGCCGGGGGCTGCGGGACCCCCCCCCCCACACACCCCCAGCAGCCGCCCGGAGCGGCCCCCGCCGCCTCACCTCCTGCTGCCGCCGCCACCGCCGCTCCTGGCCGGCCCTGCCTGACGTCAGCCCCGCCGCGCTGCGCCGCCCCGGCACCGCCAGGCCCCGGCCCGGCCCCGCAGCCCTCAGCGGCCGAGCCCGGGCCTGGCCGCTGGGTGCCGGGGGGCGCCTCAGCTTGGGCACAGCGCGGCCGTGCTCCCTCTAAACGCTCTTCCTGGGCTGAAGGAGCACGCACAGTGTCACTAACTAGTTAATTCCACACTTGGGATTTCCGTTTCTAACCCCAAACGTTCCAAATTGTTACATTTTAAAAATAATTAATATAAAGAATAATGTAAATGGCTAGGGAGCCAGGTGTGATATTTCTTCTGGATGATGGAGCTTCCTTTCAGAACTTCCCCCAGACTCACCCTGCTAAAACACAAGGGAATGTGGCTCCTATCACTGCCCCAAGTAGAAGGAAGACAAAGAAGATAAACCCCACATCATTAATAGGTTGGTTTCAGCCAAAAGACTGAATGATACAGAAATAATGTTTGTCATAGATAAAATTTCACTTGGTCTGTCAACAACCTGCTAGAGTTCCTCCCTCCCATCTATGCTCTCTTCTGGAACACAACAGCAATTCTAACAGAATCACACAGAAGGGCTGTGACAGTAATAGCACAGTTCGTGGCTGCCAGCTATCCCATTCTTTGATGTGTCTCTGAAGTACCATAAAAGCAGTAAAGGCAGAAGAGGAGGGATAAAGGTGACTTGTGGAAAACAGACTCCACAATCAGTAAGATTGTACAGTAGCTATGTTTATTCAGTGCTGGGAGCACAGGGGGTAGTCCCGCCAAAGTCATGTGCACCTGACACAGCAACTTGCCTTCGTTATATGCAGTAACGAGTTACATATGCATGAAGTTTCACAATATGCCTATACATATTCATAACCTGTCCCTGCTTTGTATTAAAATTAGTTCCAAAGAGTTGTTTCCATAAACTCCTCCCATCTGCACTTATGCAGTGTCTCCTGGTGGTGGTCTTTGGGGGTCATGGGGATGAAGGTTGATGACTCTTCCTCATCACCACTAGTTGACCTCTTTCTTGTCTTTGTGCAGACTCAATTGCTCCTTGGCTCTTGTCCATCCACAGGACCAGTTTCTGCCAGTTTCTCAGGATAGGCTCACACTCTTATTAGGAGACTGACCTTGGTAAGGGGCCCAAAGCTTCTTGCTTTAGTTAATTTGCACAATGCACCATAGTTAGCAAAGACACTTAGCAGCATCCTAGTTTAATGCTGTCAGTGCTCTATCTCTACTTGATAAGATTCTCCTAACTCCCTCTGTCAAAGGGAGATCTTCTACCTATAAATAGAACTGCAGGTTTCAGAACAAATGAGTAAATAAGAGTTGTGTGGAGTAAATTCTGCAACAAATTCATTTTTGTTCATGTAGGACGCTTTTCTCTCAGGCTAAAACCATTTGCCTTCAGTTGTTGAAAAAGTATTTCTTTAGAATCTTCTCTTTAGAATCTTTAGACTGGGGGAGTGAGCAGCTTTCTTCCAGAAAGAAAAATACTCCTCTTGAGTTTTTGGGAGCATCAAAAGATCCTATCATTGGTGTGCAGTCACCATGGGACAGCTTCCTTTTTGGTATGTGTTCAGTGTTGGCTGTCCAGTTTTGTCTAAAACTTTGGTTCGATTAGTTTTAAAATAATTTTTAAATTCAGTGAGAAGCTATCATGGTGGTTCCAGAATGAATTACCTCTACAGCCACAGAAGAACGTCAGGAGTTTGTACAGCAGCTGTTTGGAGCCATGTCCTGTGCTGTGTTGACCTTGGAAGCCCAATTAGGGCTATGAACACAGATGCAGGAACCACTAGATCTTCAGTTTGCCAGAAACTTTAGCATATATTGGAAACCCATACAAATATATGTTAGTCTTATCATCCCAGTAAAACCTGAAGTGTTTTGAATTAAACGTGTTGGGTTCTGCATTTGCAGATGAAACTTTCATCAGGGCATTTCTAACTAGCTGTGCTGCAGAGCTGAGGGTCTGAGTCCTCGTACCTAGAGCAAAAGAACTGGAAGATTTAGCTGAATGTTTTCTCTGAATGTGAACAGACAAAAAAGTGTGTCTGCCACTGAGGCATGGAAGTAAAAACTTTGTTGAAATTTTAAGCCTATTCATAATAATCAAAGTTTCAGAGTTACCAAAGCCCTTTTTTCCTAATGCAGTTATTGTCCTGAGTCCAAGAAACCAAGGCTGAAGTTCAGTTTGCCAGCTGTAGTTACAACATACCAGTTAAAATTCGATTGGAAAATTAAATTGCTATATGCCTAAGAAATTGCTGTTCTGAAAAATGTACTTGTAAAAATTGAGCTGTATGGTAGCCTTTGGCATAATGGTTGTCTCTCCGATGTGCATTAAATTTTGAGTGCTACCAACGTAGTTGTTTAAATCTCCACAGTTATTTGAGGGTCTTCATAGATTCTTTATATGCTGCTGAAATTTAAATCTCAGATTTCATACCTCTGTTCATAAAATGTATTTTAATTCTAAACCAGGCAGAACACACATTTTCATTAAAGTAAAACAAATTAATTTAATTAAAATACAAGCCAGCATTACTAAGTTCTATAATTAATGCAGTTAATGCTACTACAACCAGTAAAGTGCTCAACCAGATTAAAAAAATAATAATAATTAAGAACCAGCATTGCTTGCAAGTTAATGAAATGAAAGATATTAAAAGCAATTAAAAATGTTAAGAAGCTGACCAAACAACTCTATTTGCAGCAGAAAGATCTGCTGCTAGAGAACACTTGAATATGAATCAAAAGAACTAGGGCTCCGAATCTGTTATATGGTTATTATTGTTTTTATTAATTTTCCACAACTTAACTAGGAAGTTTGAGGGCAATTTGAAAGGAGGTGTAGGGACTAGGGGAGAAGAGCAGAGCAGAAGATAGGTCCAAAAATAAAGCAAGCTTGATTAAGTCTTTGTAAAACTGCCAACTCTGCAGTTTGTAAATAACATATAATGTTTCCCTTATGAGAGGGTGATGGAAAAGGACATATTTCTAGTTTTGCAGAAGGTTGTGTTGTCTCAGCTGTGAATATAGTAGTCTCAAACAGAAAGTTAAATTGTAGACTTTGAGAAAAATCTTTATCCAGACTGCCTCAACACCCTGACTTCTCTCAGTGGACAGCTCTTAGCTTCTACCCTTCCCAGGGGTACGTGGCCTTGCACCCAAGATTAAAATTCCTTGGCACATGATCATTTTACCCGCAAAGGTGAATATGTGGGGAACTGAAGTGAAGGGCACAAATTTTAAGTCTCTTTGGGTTTTGTTCCGTTCAAGTACATGTATGCAACATGGCATATCCATGCAGCAAAACGTAACATGTAATTGCAAAACATAGTGTATCTGTATAACGTTATCTGGAAAACAGCGTGCTCACAGACTGCTCCAGCTGAATGTGGCTGGGAATAAGGACACAGCAATGCAGACTGTAGGACGTGCAGCCATACTTCTGGGGATCATGGAAGTATATTGTGATTGCAGACACACAAGGAAGGGCTTGTGCACTTGTCTTCCCAGTTCTCATTGCCCTTGGGAGTTTTGGTTTGCTAAGGGTGATGTGCAACGCAACCATCCGCTGCATCGATAGAAAAGATTTGCATTTTCAAAGCAATTCCAGAACTTGAATTCAAGACATGCCTAGGAAAATCTGTGGGGCCAAGGCTTCAGAGGTGAGAAAAGCCTAATTTGCTTTTGAAAATGGGACTCACTTTTAAGCAGGACAATGCCTAACTGCCTCCTCTAGTATACTGACAGTTTGCTCAACTGCATGAGAAGACTGTGATGAAGGTAGGGAATACTCCTTTTTGATCCATAACTGAAAACATGCCTGCCCTCTTGCCTTCCTCTGGCCTGTGGTTTGTGGCACTGCAGACACCTCCGTATGCTTCCCAAATACAACGATCTCTTCAGAAACTTAGTCTAGAGGAAACAGTAGGGCAAGTTACATGCAAATAAGATGTTGCCTGCAGCTTCGTGGTGCTGAGGCCAGTGTAGCCTGCCAGGCAGCAGATTGCAGAGTGCACTGCGAACAGCAGAGAAACAAAAAGCCTGGCCGAAAGCTGAGGAACTTTCTGGGTGAGACTGTGGGATTTCATTGTCAGCTTCTATTGTTTGGATTTGATCAAAAACAAACCAGTCGAGAAAGACCACAGGCTTATCAGACATCCCTGCAGGTCACACCACTAGAGAGCCATTTCACCATTAGTGAACTGCCTGCTTGGATTTTGCTTTTATTTGTAGGCAGTTTTTAAAAGCACAGAATCACCAGAGGTGGTCTAGGCAACTTGCAAAAAGCAAAACAAAACAAAAAACCCTGTCTCATTGCAGCCATTCCAAAGAGGAAGAGAGAAAACAATTTCTACAACACATCTTTGATTTCCACTAATAACTGTGTTTGGACCTGAGAGGCAGCTGGTGTCAGTGGGAGTTTTTCCTCTGAATTACTTTGGCTCTGGATCTCACCTTTACTTGACATTGGCTGTACTGTTCCATTAGCATTTAAAGATAGCTCTCACAGAGAGGATTTACACAGACGTGGCAAGAGAAGAAGGAAAGACTAAAATAATTACACTCCATTTTCATAGAAGAGATTAAAGCACAAGGCAGGGACAGTAAGTCTCAAATACAGTCACTCTGAAAGTCTGGGCCAATGTGGAGAAGTTGATCTACACCTCCTGGTGCCAAGTCAACATATGCTTACGTTCCCTGGTCAGGCTGCCCAGTGGCTACCACCATAGTTGCTCCTGGTCTATATTCTAGTCTGTCAATACTTAAAGCTAGGTATAGAAGCTTCTGTTACGTGTTGCTTGTTACTGAAGATTAGGACATCAGTCAAGAGTCAACTTTGGAATAACTGTTGGTGAGGGGGCATCTTCTTTGCCAAACTTTATTCTTGAATCTCATTGGAATGGCAAATGTACGAGTCTGTTTCGTCCTTTTGCTCTGAAGATCCTGTTCTGTGCTGGCTTAAATTCATGTTGAAACTTTCCTGTTAAACCTAGCCTGCTCAACAGTGGAATCAGTGAAAATCGTCATGTCTTCAGGAGGTTTT